CCCAACCGTTTGGGACTCGCTTTCATTTGGTCGGGGTTGGGTAGGCATTATACTACCTCTGCGGGCGAGCTAGTTCCCGCAAGGTGAGGTGACACAGGCGTGCACCCATTCGTGGAGCTTCTCAATCCCGGAGATGTCCCTAGGATCGTGGCGTCCCTTATCGAAGAATACTCTCGTACAATGTGAGTATAGACGAGAGCGTCCTTCGGAGGTTCCATTGGGCTTGCCGTCCCAAACAAATCCGGCGGCGTATTCCGTCCGCTCACACGTGTACCGGGAAGTGCACTTCTCCTTGGGCGAAGTCGGTTTCATCCCACAGCAGCAGGGAGGGGGGGGCGGTGCTGTTTTGGGTGGTGTTTGTGGCGGTGTGTATGGTGATTTTGTTTGGTTGGGTTGATACTTGGAGGGGAACAGGTGGTGGTGGTGGTGGTGGTGGTGGTGGCAGACCGGGCTGGGGTGGTGGCGGCGGTGGTGGTGGTTGGGGACGTGGGGATGATCCGCCGCCGCCGTATCCCGGTTCGGGACCGAAGCCGTCGTCGTCGTCGTCGGGTGGGGCCTGGTCTCCTGGGTTCTGGACTGGTCTGGCGAGCGGTGCGGCGGCCGGGTACACTGGCTGGTAGCAGTCGCGGACAGCGGAACAACAACCGGCGCAATGATCGGTCTTCCTGGGGGTCTGGCTCCGGCTATGGCGGTGGCGAAAGCTCGTCAAGCGCGAGCAGCTCAGGGTCTGGCGCGCGTCACGAAAGCACCGGTTTCGGATCGACCAGTCGCCGTTGAGAAACATGAGGGAAAAATTAAGGCTTGATAGGTATCGATAGACCGCTTTGTACAATATCGTAGCTCCCCTCGTAACCCCGGTTCTATATCCTGCTCTCCAAGTGAACGATAAGTCACCGCTTGTAGATAAACCCCTCTGGGTTTGCCCAACCTTAACTGCACTTGATCAACGCATCCCGGATCCTAATCACACACCACTAAATTACATTGGTACAGGTACAATTGCCGTGCTCGTACAAGCATCTGGTCGTCAATCCTGCGCTCGGCGCCGCGTTTGTCCGCCCACACCGCCGTGGCCCGTGGGGCGGAAACGGCGGGGCTGTGTCGTCGTGTCGTCCTTGGGCGCGTTTGCGCCTCGGTGGGACTTGTGCTCTGCTCGCCGCCATGCCTTTGTCGGACGTCACTATAGATGGGCGGCCATGGCATCGGTTCGGTCAAAGGCCTTGTTGCAACTCGGGCACTTCCTCATGCGGTTCGCCAACCTGTCATCGACGCAGCCATGGCAGAAGACGTGGCCACATCCCTTTAGGATCGTGTTTTTGAAATTGCTTCGGCACACAGAGCAAATCACCAAATTCTGCACATCGTTAGTGACAACAACTAGACATAACGCCGGCGGACCGACTCACCCTCAGCGCTTCTTCCTCCTCTGATGAATTGCTCTGGCACTTGAGCTTCCACTTGTTGCAATCCTTGGCGATCTCCTTGACGTCAACCTTGGTCTTCTCCAGCTCGGTCTCGGCCTTCAGGAGCTGCTCTTTCATGGCGGCAACCGCGGCGTCCTTCGCTTTCACGAGATCAGCGAGATTGGATATCTGAGACTTGCACGAGTCCGCCCTTCGTGTCGCCTCAGTACTCAGCTGTTCTAGCTTCTTCCGCTCCGCCATAGCCGTCGAGATGTCCTGCTTTAACGCTGCGATCTGCTTTTCGAGGCTGCCAATAAGAGCCCTGTTTTGCATCTCAACGTCTTTGAGCTGGGAAATGATTTCGGAGCTCTTCCCGTTTTGCGCTCGAAGTGTCCGGATCTCGGCGGTTCGGATGTCCATGTCCTTTCGCGCAGCAAAGTATTTCTGGTCCGCTTTGCTCTTCTCGGCCGTGAGCGTCGCAACTCGGTCCTCAAGGTGCTGAAAGTCCATGACTTTCTTGTGCGCCAGCGCCATCGACTTTTTATACGACTTCTCCAGGAGTGGTAATTCCTTGTTGATCGCCTCGAAGTCCTTCTCCAGTTTCACATATCTTTGCCGCAGGTCCTCAACAGCCAGAGCCTCGAGGTCCGGGCGTGGGTCCGACATGGCCGTGTCCTCGGTTGGTCGTAATCGTTCGAGTTCCGACTCGAGCTCGGCAATGCGGTCTACCTGGGCCTCCGCGAGCTCCTTGATCTGGGTCAGAGCCGTCTTCTCCTGGTCTTGGCTGGCTTTGCGCATCGCGACCTCTGCCAGGAGTTCGTCGCGGGCGGAGCGGATGCGGGTGAGGTCCTGGTCTTTCTGCTGGAGCTGATCTTCCACTTCCAGCGTGGCGGCCTGGGCCTCGGTTTCTAGCTTGGATTTCCATTCGGTTCTTTCCCCGCGTAGCTTCTCCGCTTCTTCCCGCAAGTGCTTATTCGTCGCCTCCAGGTGGTTTATGCGCTTGATGAGGTCTTCGTTTTGTCCCTTGAAATGTTTGAAAACCTCTGTCCGGGCGTACTCCTCGTCGGTGACGGCTTCCTTCTTGATCTTAAAAGTCGAATTTTCGTCAGTCAGGGCCTTATTCTCGGATAACGCGGCTTCGAGCTGCTGCTTCTGCTTAGCCATCACGGCCATTGCTTCTTGATACTGCAGCTTGAGCGCTCCGCTATCTCCGTTCGCGGTGCCGGAATTGGCGCCGTTTTCGTCCTTCGTGGCCGGATGAGCCGTGGCGCTAGCCAAGGCTTGCTGCTCGAGTTTTTGTACTTGCGCGCTCTTCGTTCGGTCTAGCTTCCGTTCCGCCTTGATGACCTTCAGAGTGGCCTTGTCGTATTGTTCCGAGAGTGACGCATTTTGTGCCTCCAGTCGATCGACTTTGACAATCAATTCTTTCTGCCGCGCCAGTAAAGAGTTGATCTGGGATTCGAGCTGCGTTACTTCCGGCTTGACCTCACCTCGCGCGCCAGCCAGGCGCTGCAGTATGGCGTCGGTCTTGGACCTGAAGGTCTTCCCTTTGTCGTTGAGATGCCTTTGGAATTCTTTACTGTCCTTGAAGGAAAGGGCGGACCCTGGTGCTAAATCTGCTGGACTGCGAGATGATATTGCGCCATCCACCAACGCCTCGATTTCTTGCAGTAGCTAAGCGCGGTCAGCGGGGGCCCACGGGGCGGTCGGACGTCGGGACGTACCTGGAGCACCCATGCGTCGATTATCCGGATATGGTCGTCATGATCTGTCGAACTTTTCTCCAGCTCTTGGACGCGACTTTCCAGATTTATCTTTTCCCTCTTGTACTCGAGCATTTGGCGATATATAGCGCCCTTTTGGTATTCCTGGAGACACCCATGTCAGCCAACCCGTCGCCCCCAACCATGCGAAGAGTCTCCCCATGTACATCGTAGCGAACAAGAAGCGGAATGATTGGAAGTATGAGGGCACTGGGATCAGGGAGAGGTCTGAGGGAGCCGGGCGTGCTGTTGCCAGCCAGCCGCGCATTAGCCACAGTCAAGGCAAGGAAACGCAGCAAAACCGCCGCGTTTGATGCCAGCTGTCGCCGCAAGATGGACGCGGCATCAGCGCGACGGCGCCATAGGCCAGGTCTCGGGAGGGAGAGGGGGTGCGGGATGGCCAAAGGATGACGAAGTAGGGGCTGTCGTGTGACACACTTACCTCGATCCAGGCCTCTTCCTTCATGTCGGCAGAGTCGTCTTTCGACTTGCCGCCACCGTTGACAGCTTGTCGTTTGCTCGGCGGAGCGTAGTCATCGACCGCGCCAGACGCGGGTCTCTTCCTGTCCTCCATCTTGGCGAAGGTGGCAGGACGGGGCAACACGGATGGAGAGGTGGCAATCGGCATCAGAAAAAGCGCAGCGACGTAGTGAACAAGGCAGTAAAAAAGAAGAAAATGATTAAAATCGAAGCCGGATTAACGGGAATGGGCGGGATATGATCTGTCGTCCTAAGCCTCGGGCAACGCCCCGAAAAAAATGAAGCTGAAAGGCAAGAGCCTGGTGGTGAAAAGGAGCGTGCGGTTTGGGAATGGAAAGGGAACGAGAGAAAGAACGGGCCGCCGAGTTGCATGCATGTTCGGCCAAGGAAGGGTCATTTTCGAATGCTGCGGCATTGCGCTAACCCAATTTGACGCTAGCGCTCAGCGAACCATTGTCTTATCACTCTCGCCCCACGTCGCGCCCGCTTTTTGAGCGCCATCTTTCGATCTGAAATGCCCTGCACTTCCTGCTGCAGCAAACACTCATTCAATTCGACTTTTGAATTCTGCCAACCCGCCTCGACCGGGCGAGTTTTTACAACACCCGCGCCCCGTACTGACTACTTTCGGGGCCGGAACCGAGAGACTCAGACCCGTCTTGTCTTTATTTCGGGCAATGCGCAACTGCGCACGTTTCCAACGATAGCGAAAAACGACTGCGGGGCAGTAAACCGAAAAGATGTTGAATAAGAAATCTGCCTTCAAGCCGAAGGCCGCTATCCGTCGCCCGCCTGGCAAAGGAGGCTCCCAGAACGCTTCACGTCCATCGACAACAGAGCCCTCGTACAACAGTACACCTGTACCTCAGGAACCCTCGTCCTTGAAAACCCAGTCTGCCCCGCACCCGGCCACCAGCACATCCGTCGAAGTCCGCACTGCCGTCCCGCCCGATGGCGCCCTTGAAGATATTGGAACATCTCTGCAAGGGAAGGAGAAGCATATAGAATCCGGTGATGCGGAATTGGGAGCTCAGGCCACGGGAGCCGTTCTAGAAGGCAGAGTCGCGAGTCTTACCACGGCGGTTTCGAGCGAAAAGTCTGTGAGTGAGGCAGCCGCTAGCCAACTTGAAAAGACCACAGCCCAGATTTTGCGTACTGCCCAAGAACGCCCCCCGTCAGGCTCGCCAGCAGTAGACAGAGATAATCGTACCGAATCTCGCGTGGATGATCGGTCGCCGGTCGTTACGGTTGCCGCTGCCGTTGCTCCAACCAACAATTCTCTTGCCTCTGCAGAGCCTCTCTCTACGATACAAATCGATGGCACTACTACAACAACTACGCCAACCCCTATTGCCAACCAGGCCTCGACCCCCAATGCCCCGACAGCTGCTCCGGCGGACCGATCATCGCGGGTTGCAGTAACACCCGCCGAGACGCCTATCAGCGAACAGGCACAACCGGCGAGTGAAACGGCGCCCGAGCCCGCAACGAACTCTTCCCAGACCGCAAAACCAAAGCGTGGCCGTAAACGCACAACAACGACTGTCGCCATTGAAGATGCCGGCGAACAAGATCCCTCCACCTCAAGGAAACGACCACGAAAGAGGGCGGCTCCACTCCCAGGTGAGGAAGGACACCAACCGGCGGCCCGAAGGGAAACACGGAGCCGAAAGCGCAGCGCGTCCGCGGTAGAGGACGAGGAGGTCGAAGAAGACGGCGAGGAGGAGAACGCAGGGCAGCACAAGAAGAAGCCACCGAGGCCGCAACGGGAAGCCACACCACCCGATGCGGAGGCCGTCGAGATCGACATCACCCAAGTCAAGATGGCCGACCTAGCGAAGGATATGCATATCGGCAAGAAGTTCAGCCTGCACGACGAGCTTATGGAGCGCGAGCGTGCTAAGCGTCTCCGATACAACGAGCGTAGGAAGCGACAGCAGACCGGCGAGGAAGGCGAGGAAACCGCGGAAACTGGCGAAGCCCCCGGCGCGACACCATCTTCCGACCTCAACAACAGCGCCCAACCCACTCCCTCCGCCACGGACGACGCTACCGCCGAAACCCCCGCCGACAGCAGCGCCCGCGCCCCGATTGGCGAAACCTATCAGATCATCGACGGCGAGATCGTGCTCGACCACCGCTCCCTCCAAGTCGACCGGCACGCACGGGCGCGCGAAGAGGCTGGCGACCTCGTCGAGATCGAAGAGAACGACTTTACGCACCACACCACGTCAGCCACCTACCTACGGCGCAACCTCAAGCCGCAGCAGTGGACCGACGACGAGACGGACCTCTTCTACCAGGCGCTGCAGGCCTTCGGCACCGACTTCGACACCATCTGCCGCATGTTCCGGGGCAAGACGCGCAAGCACATCAAGCTCAAGTTCAACCGCGAGGAGCGCGTCAACCCGCAGCGCATCACCGCCGCCCTGGTCGGCCAGAAGACGGTCTCGTTCGACATGGAGCAGTACCAGCGCGCCACGGGCCAGGAGTACGAGACGGCCGAGGCCATCTACGCCGAGCAGAAGAAGGCCGAGGAGGAGTTCGAGGCCCGCCAGAAGGTCCTCGAGGACGAAAAGGCCGACGAGGTCCGCCGCAAGAAGGAGGAGGTCCTCGCCCAGCTCAACAGCGCCGTCGACGGCGAGGGGCCCAAGAAGGGCGGGCGCAAGGGCAGGAAGAAGAAGGGCCCTGTTCCCATGGGGCTTTGATCATTTGATCATGTTTAGGTTCTTCCTCAGCGGTGTCTTTTGTTTGCCTGGGTCCTTTTTTTTTCCCCTTGGTTTCCCTTAAATAACGCGGGGACGCGGTGCATTTAGAGCGACATCGAGCTTGGGGTTGGTTGGTTGGCAGGACAAGCGGAATCCGACGGCAATGGATTATATTGATACCCTTTTCACAGTATACAGAAGGAGGCATTTGAAGGCCGAGACGCAGAGGGGCCGGCAATCCAGGAGGAACAAAAGCGTTATAGCGTGTTGGTCGATGACAAACATGGGGCTTACATACCCCGATGTAGGGTATATAGGAGAGACAGCATTTCCGTACGGTGGTTTGTGAAGTTTGCATACATAGGTGCTGAACAACGCTCCGTTGATTCTAAGTTCACTCGCTCAGTTTAGAATTCATTGGCGGATTCCTAGTATGGTTCCGAGGGCTAAGTCTTCCGGTTTCCGACACATCCCTTCCACATCCTACGCAAGCTAGATGCCGCAGCAGAGCGACCAAGATTCACATCCATTGTCCGGGCCGCTATTTCATCCGCTCCATCCCTTAAACCGGGAGTTATTATCCCCATCTAGTATGAGAGGGCAAACCTACGGCAGCCATCCATCGATCTAGTAACCACCGCCATATGTTTGCAGGGGAAGAGGTTTAAAAGGTGCATCGTTTCGTAGCCATCATCAACGAGGCCCCATTTCCGTATGCTCATGCTAACCGATCCCCGACTCATCTCGCTGTGAGAACCGAACCCTAGCTAGGACGTCTAGCCCAAATTCCCATATCGCATCCAGATCTCCACGAGAAACCACAAAGGCCGGGGAATCACAACCCTTCCGCCAAGAACTCCGAAATGACGAAAGAAAAAATCAAGGCATGTTGACGTCCTCGTCGTCATCGGGTTGGTCGAAGAGGAAATTTGCTGCCAGTTCTTCATTCTTGTCGCAAGCAAAGTAGGCCTGGATCGCCTGGTCTTGCGTAAAGCCAAGTCGAGTAAGCCTCTCGATGGCGTCGCGCTCCTCTTCCGTCACGGAGATCTGGTGGGCCCCAGGGGGGAGCGGCGCGTCGTCGTCGCCGCCCGACTCGCTAAGCAGGGAGAGGAACTGATCAGGGTTCTGAGCGATCAACTGGGCAAGCTGGGGGTTGCCGGCACCAAGCTGCTGGAGAATGGGCTCCAACATTTGGGGTTGTTGCTGCACCACCTGGCGAAGCTGTTGGAACTGTGCGTTAGCACGGAGCCACTCGAGGTTACCCAGGCCTTGGCCACCGGCCGCCGCGGCAGCCGCAGCGGCGGCGGCAGCGCCTGCACCAGCGCCTGCGCCTGCGCCAGCGCCACTACCACCGCGTGTGCCAGAGCCACCACGACCTTGTTGAGCGGCGAGATCGAATAGATTTACGTTGGCATCATCCTCGGCGCCCGCACCAGCAGCGGCTGCCGGCGCAGGTGAGGCGGCAGCTGGGGCAGCCTGACGAGCTGCAGCGGCGGGTTGTTGCAGGTGTTCGGGGATGCCCTTATGGATAGTTAGCTACCGGCCTTTTGTAGCGACGCCACTTCGTCCCAGGATAGAACGTACGGTCAGGAGGTACTCTACGGCGCGGTCGGGGTTGTAAAACGCAGCGCGCATAGCAGCGTCGATCTGTGCCCGCTCAAAACCCATTGCCTCCATATTGGCAATTGCCTCTGCACGCTGCTCGCCTGTAGCCAGAGCATTGGCATCGTTGGGAGCCGCTTCGGGGGCGGCAGTCCGGTTCGGGGTGGGGGTAGCCGGAACGGCTGCAGCTGTGCCGGAAGTCTGCGCAGGGGCGGCCGGGGGTGCTGGAGTAGAGCTTTGTGCGGGGGCAGGTGTAGCCGGGACTGCGGATGAAGAGGCCTCGGGCGCTGGTGCAGGCTTGGGCTGTGTAGTGCTGTCAGCTTCGAGTCAACTGTTGGCGTCGATGATTATTCGCACTTACCTTATTCACGACGCAAACCACAAAACCCTTTTCCTCAATCTTGTAGGTTTCAACGGTGTCTTCGTCCTTCAGAATTTTGCCTAAAATACGAAGCAAATTGTCAGTTCACGTCGAGAACAAAGCACGGAAAGTGTTCGCATACCGCTGTAGATCAGCTTCTGGAGCTTGGGGTCCCAACCCCGCTGCTCGGAAATCCTTTGCTTGACAGCAGAAATCTGAGTTTTGTCAGTGTCTATCTCCAGAATGCAAGCCCATAATTATGATGATCCGCTGAGCCGGCTGAGAGGCACCGTCATATGCATTCGCGAAAAGTGGTTGTCGGCTAGGTAGCGTCATAGCGGCGGGGCGAGGGCTCGGAATGAGGGATGAAGAGGGGTAACCTACAAGGTCGGTCGGCTCAACATCGAGCACGAACTTCTGTTGTTTGAGGTCCTAAACGCGGGCGGCCATAAATTAGCATCTGGCATAGAGCGATCATCGACATGCGATGAGGTGTTGGAAAGGAGTGCGTGGGGTGTTGGGGTTTTGTGCAAGAGCCGCCAGCTCTGGTCGGGTCGAACAAACCTTAAAGGTCACCTTCATGATGGGCAACGTAATAAACACCGGCGGCTAGATTTCTATGATCTGTTCGGGGAATGGTTTGCGATGGCGGTTAATCGAGTGATGTCAAGGATTGCCGTCGATGGTTCTACGATACTGTAGAGCTCGGGTTGTTGTGTGTTATGACAAGGCGATTCTGTGGCAAGAGGGAGGCAGCAACGAAACCATTGCAGAGGGAACTCAAGTTAGGTTGGAGCAAGGTGGGGCATTGGGGGGCACGCGGCCGCTGTCGCCTAGCAGCTGTGCACCTGCCCCACTCTCCTTGGGGGCGAGCCTTGCCTGGGTTCGAGCTGATGATCCCGCCAAGCCAACCCTATTTCTCGACGCCACAAAACATCGCCGTCACCAATCGACTTCGCGATGAATCGGATTTGGTTCATACTGTTTTTAAGACGGTGAACAACGACCAATGGTATCAATGGATGAAACGGACCCCCGGATAACATGCAGTCTCCCGTTATTCGTTCAATCTTTCACTTTCCACTTTGTTTCACGCGTTCATGCACAGAAAAGGTGTGTATATGGATACACTGACATGGTATTTGTCGTTGCCCGATCGGCGGCGGTTGGTTGAACCAAGTTGTCTATTCTAACCCTCCAAACTCCAGGACGTTGTCGAGCGACAAAAGTGTCCTTCCCATTCCCTGCCCTTTCCCGTTTTCCCGTCTTAATCCAACGCCATCGCTAAGCATCAATCATCATTTGGTATCTTGCTTCCAAACCTCGAGGCTTTGGCTCGATCGATCACCCCAAACTCAAAGACAAAAGAAAGGCAGATGCCTATAGACCTTGTGCTGGTCCCATAGCATCATGGTCATAACTCATCAAATCCTCGGGAGCCGTTGATGTCAAGATCACGCCGAGGCCTGTTGCCCAACTTTAGGGCAGCTCTTGATTTCCGCTAGGAGACTCGACCTCACGGCTTTTGTGAAGTAGTCAAACTCGACGTCGACCCAGCATTGAGGATATAATCCGGAATCGGCGGTGTCATCTTCCGCTCCGTATCCACCGCCGCCGCCGCCGCAGCAGCACCCACCACCACGGCCTCGACCTCGTCCTCCTCGCGCAGCTCCGGCGAGCTGCTATCGGCCCTCCGACGAGCGAACGACTCGCACGAGCCGGCGCGGCTGAGCGGGCTGGGCCCGGGCACGGGCGGGAGGCTCTCGCTGCGCAGGCGGCGGATGCTCTGGATGCTGCGGATGCTGTGCTTGTCCGAGATGACCTGGCCCGCGTTGGGCGCCGCGACCACCACCGTGCCAGGCGTGGCGCTCGGCGGCGCCGGCGAGTCGGACCGGAACAGCGGGTGGATGTGCGCTTCGCTGTTCGACTCCTGCTGCGTGAAGGCCACCCGCTGCGCCTGGATCGCCCGTGTCGACACGGGGCTGTAGCTGCGGCTCCTCCGTTTCGCGCGCGGCGGCTCGAGGATGTCCAGCGCGGTGCCGGGGCTGGGGCTCCGGCTGGTTGTTGGGCTGGCGGGGATGGTCTCGAGGAAGCGGCTGTGCGGCGGTGACGAGGATTCCAAGACTGTCTGGCGGGTCTCTGGATCCACGGCTGACGTGTCCCAGGAGTCGAATCCAACTTCCGTTGAACGGGATTGGCGATCTTGCGCGGCAGGCAGGTCGAGAGAAGTAGGCCGGTGGGAGGACCGGCGGCTGAGAGACAACAAGCGTGTCTTGGACGTGATGGGTCGGATGGCGTGTGAAAGGGAAGACCGAGCCGAGTTTATGGTCTCCATTCCCGAGCGGTCGCCGCTTGAACCAGGGGGCGTTGGAGAATCGAACGAGGCGCTCCCGCGGTCCTTGGCCGAGGTCGGGGTTGTCTCGTGATACGGGACCGTTTTGATACGAGGACCCAGCTTGTTGCCCAGTTCGGTTTGGGCCGATCCCTCAGGGCGACTTCCAAGTGCTCTCCCAGCGAGAAAGTGGAAAATGAAAAAGACGAGTTGTGTCGCAAACGCCAGCCCCAGCGCAACCGAGGCTCCCACCAAGAAATCCCCTACCCCCCATCCCAGGATGGTACTCAGAGGGTCATGGACAACCTTACTGAGGCAGACGATATTCGATATCGATATAACCGTGGCAACTGTGCACAGCGCTAAGCCCGCGTCGAACCATACCCTCCTAAACCATTTCCAATGCGAACTCGGGGCCCATGGCACGACATGTGAGAGGCTGAGGAACGGCACAGCAACAAAGATGACGGCTTCGAAGAGCGCCGCAACAATACCCGTTGTCCTCACTGACGACGCTCGATCCGCGGGTGACCGAGCAAGGATAATGTGGATGCCTAGGATGGCTGTTGTCGGGAAGAATGCAACCGCGCCCAGCGCGGCTGGGACTGTGCGGGGAATCGCCATATCCCCGTGCCTGCCAGAATGTCGAAAGAAAAAGCCTGGGGCACCGAAATGAGAGTGAAACCTGGCCTGGTGGAATCGATTTTGGTGGGACGGATTTATCAACCGTCTGGAATGTTCGTCCGAATGCTGACTTCTCCACCCGTTGCTTTCCCCTCACAGACCCAAACAACAACAACAACAACAACAACAACAATGCTCTTTCTCCAAAGTCCGGTTAACCGTCCTACGATTCCGGTGCCTGCAAGTCCCGGCTTGCACCCTGTTGTCCTCGCCGGCCGGGAGCGTGTCTTCGAGCTCCTGATCTGCGGGGCCGGTAAGGCGCTAAGGTCCGACGTCACTCTGGTCGATGGTGGAAGAGAAGTGGACAAACGATCCCAATGATGGCGTGTGATGAGAAGGAAGCTCCCCGGTCAACAAATGTTGCTGGGCTTCGCCGATATATGCGGGGTGCTGTTTAGCAGCCGTGTTCATGCGACTGGGTCACTGGGTCTAGCGCCGAGACAATGGCATTCCAAGACTTCTGCCGTCTTGTAAAGCGGTGGAAACCCGGCGTTGGCTTACACACGGGAGTTCCTAAACGAATGGTTGGATGGGGAAGGCCGAATTTGAAAGAAGGTAAGGCTGTGTGGGTTTTGGTGACCGTGTTATCAGGCCGTCCAATATCTCGGGGTTGTGTATTCCGTCTGATATGTGTGCGGCGTTGTGCTGACAGCTGAGAGATGGTTTCTCTCAGGTAAGAGAATAAGGCTGAAACGAAGGATACCTTTTCCCTTACGGCTTGTGGAAAGAGGAGTGAGGAAACGAACGACCTGAGAGAATAACAATGATGAGATTTCGACGAAAACAAAAACTGGGGTTCGCCCAGCGGCCTGGATGTGGGCTCCCCGGGTAAATGTAGCAAAGGCAGACACACAAGAAACGACGCGTCCGAATCGCGTGGAGCCCTCCTCCGAGGGGCCAGTGTTGTTCGTCCAGCCCCGAACCTGCAGGTTGGGATGCTGTGCCTTGCTGGGCGTGCTGGGGCGGCATGGTTGTGGACACTGAAAGGGGTGTGAGTGACATTGGGACGGAGCGGCGGGCTCAAGACAGGGGTAACCCCTTGCTTGGGTTGCGTGCTCAAATCCCGCTCGGGCCCCGACTGAGACAAGGGGATTCCAGGCGTCCGGCGAAGCGAGCACGCTTGTGGTCAAAAAAGCAAGGGAGGAGAGATCGGGACCGATCCACCACGATGCGAGAGCACACTGTTTGTTGATGGCGAGGCCTCATGTCGCTGACTCGCATGCGACAGCGAGCGCCCTCGACACCCCAACAATGCTTCAGGCAATTATTTGTTTGCGTGTTAATGCCCCGATCTCGATGGTCCAAGGACGGAGTTGCTGGGTCGGATTTCCCTAATCACTCCAATCAGAGCTGTGCCTGGTTTGTTCCGACCACGACGGGCGGATTTCGACCAGTTGGTGACATTATCGACCAACCACTACAAGGAGAAGAACGGAAAGCTCTTCGAAAGCCCGACGTCTACTTTTTATTTTACTCGGTTTTTGTTTATCTCTTCTTTTTCTTTGGTTTTTTTTTTTTTTTTTCCTTCTTTCTCTTTTCTTGATTTCTTGGCTCCCTTTCGAGTTTGGTTTTTTGTTTTCTCTTTTTTTTGGCCAAAGGGAGCCAACCTGCCTGTTCGTACCCATTGGGGTATTTGGCGACTGGAGCAGGATTGGATACCACACATCCATCCAAGAGTTCCACGAAGCATGGTAATAGCCAACGAGAGACGAAGCCGTACCATCAACTTCCCTTGACTACCGACGCCGCGTCGGACAAACCATCCCATTTTCATGCAAGAAACAAATCGTGGTGGGTGCACAGGAGGTACTCTGCGTCAACTCCCACCTGTCGGATACTGCGCGTATATTAACTGGAACACCCTCCTTCTTCATTCGTCCTTCTCCAGCAATGCGCGCAGAATCTGAACCTCGATATTTCTTCTTTGAAAGCAGAGGTGCCTCGGCTCCACTGCTTCAGTAGTAAAGATGTACGCAAACTCTCTTATCGTCCCAGGTTGACCCCTCAAACATGTGATTGTTTTGATTTTGCCCGTTGGGTCTCAACTCCTCACAAACATGCTTTGTGCCGCACCAAACATCCCGCAACCTGATTTGGAAACAGCTCCGTCAACAACAGCTTCGATCCATGGATCTTCCCTCTTTCCTTCCAGAAACACAGGTCAAGAGATGCCAAGAGACCAACTCGATCGATGTGGAGAACCTAATCCGAAACAGTGCACGACTACGAAATAAGTACCGTGTCATTCGACCTTGATCTGTCATCGGAAATGGGAGGATTTGATTTCGGGAAATCCGAGGGAAAAAAGGACGAAAGCTTGTTGCTCTGGCAAAGAGCGCTTCCTAGCTCTGGGATCAGTCAACATTACCAGGGGTGAGAAGCAGCAGAAGAGGTCTGAGAACCGACCTTTCCTCTCACCACAGTGCGACCCGGCGAACGGTGAAACAAGGCCAACTGTACACCACCCGCTCGGGATTAGCGTCGGTTTCGCTGACGCAGGTACCGATGCGGCCCCACACCGGGCTGACTGCCACCTGGTTAGGGCAGATCCAACGGCTCAACCTTCCAGAAATAGCGAGTTTCACAGCCTTTTGCGCTCGGCTCGAAGTTCTCTTCGCGGCAGTTGCAAAAATGTTGAACGGCAGTTGGGAAGACACATCGAAAACCCCCATTGTACTCTACGGAGACAGGCGATCCGGATGACCAGGTAGGCGGACAACCAAACAATCGCGGGGAGATGCAACGCGTCCCAAGGTTCAGACGACACCGCCGCCGCAGCAGCAGTAGCAGCAGTGACTCAGCCGCACACGTATCGCCCTTGATTCGCCAATTCACCCCTCTCCCGCTTCCAAGAAAGAAATCCTTCTTCCGAACCGCCCGCCCGCTCTCCCGTCGGGAGTCCAGTGCGAAGGAGGCAATTTCGCAACCCTTGGTCGGAGTGTTTCCGGGGAACACACAGACCTCAAGCCACCAATGATGGTCTCCGTTGGCTTCTTTCCCGCAGAGTTTTTTTTTTTTTCTGTCAGTGGTCTGACATGCAGACACGCCCCCTCCTCCCCTCCCACATTTCATTTCCCGCCCTGCAGCTGCCGACAGGCCAGGTCCTTGTTGCTGTCAGCTGCTGACGACACGATGATGTTGAGCCTGGCGGCCTGTCAGCCTGAGGCATTTCTTTCGGTTTCTCTCTCGCAGCGGGCGTGCTCCGCTCTCTCGCGGTCTGGACTGCCCGGTTGTGGTCCGAACCATGATTCTTCGTGGAGCTTGTGAGGCTATTTCTCATCATCGTTACATCACCGGCTGGCGACGGGCTGGAGAGAGATCTGGCTCTCGGAATCGCAGCGCTGTTTTGGGAAGGAGAGCGCGCGGACGTGTCCGGTCTCGGGCCGCCGCCATCACTGCGGTTGGAAAAGAGACGGGCCTGTGATGCTCCGAGGCAGACCCAACTCCCCATATTGGGCCTCAGCCTTGGGCGTGAGGTGGCCATTGCTCATGGCTTCGGCTTCGGCTTCCCCTAGCGCGGGTTTTAATTTTTTCTTTTCGGCTGGGTTTGCGGCCTCAAACCTCTGTGCTCGCAGTGGGCCCGCTTCGAACTGAAATTTAAAACTCCACTATCAATAACCATGTTGATGACAGAGAGATGGAGGAGTGTTATTCCGCCGGCTCCGCGACAGAACCCTCGCCGAAGCCCTGGGGGTTTAACTTGGTACCTAGCCCCAAGTTCATCTCCGTGGTCAATCTCGGAGGGAACTCACCGGCCGAAGCAAAACGGCAGGCATGTCAGTGGCCTGGCAACGCCGGCTCGTCGGCATAGTATAGTTTCATCTGCTATAGCCCGGTCCTGGAGCTAGCTATCCGCCGAGGAGTGCAAGTTGTTGATGATGCGTTCACGGGAGGTCGATGCTGAAAGACAGCCATTCACGGGTCAGGTCATGTGACCCCAACTGACGCCCAACGAAACGTGTATGTTGGATTCAACCTCTGCTATCCCAAAAAGAATGCTGTGCGTTCTGAGGGGCATGGGTAGAATCTTGCTATAGAGTAGTTTTACCCCATTTGGTTGTCTTTTGCCGCATGTCCTCTGCTCAACCTTGAGCTTCCAGGATGCCTTGAGTGTCCAGTCATTTTAAACAAACAAGACGCGGAGCTAACAAGAACCGGAGAATGGATGCCAAATATGTATGGGCACGTTATGTCAACAAGGGACGGTCGATCTGTGATCGCAGCTTGCCCACCCCATGTCAAAGATGACGATTAGATACACCGACTCCTAAGTCGATTCTTCTGGAGGAAGTCCTGTGGTCGGTGAAGGGGAACTGGCGATATCTAAATAACCTTCTAACGGTCCCATTACTACTCGGGGGAAAATATTATTATCATTCTTTCCTACCTAACAAGTAGTCAGTCTGACACGGGAACTATAGGTGGATTGCAACAACCATAGGTCGACAAATTGTTGAGTTTGATAGGTCAGAATGCGTAGATCCCCAACTCTTTGACGTAGGATGGACCGGCGCACCAATGCGAGACTTTGAAAGGTCTCTCTGCCAATATGCATTACAATTACCATACTAGCCCCTCGCCTGTGATGATCCAGCCCCCTCCTTGATCTCGGTACAGTTATCTTACAACACCAACCCGCGCACCTTTTCCCCTCCTCTGGTCCCAACCGGACAGTCAACACTATATCTGCCACTCTTCTGAACACTGGCTCGTGTCATTATCCACCAATCATAAAAGCCTGAAGAAATTTTGATATAGTAAAAAAATGTAGGGCAGTTCGTCCGTGTCGTACGGCATAAGGTACGCTGAAGAAATCGTAGATGTGGTTACTCGGCCGTTACTTTGTTTTCGTGCTCGTCCAGTCGTTCTGTCGTGCCGCCATGCCGTCGTGCCCGGGTGCTTCCAGGCGTCAAGCTGTGAAGTAAAATCTCCGATATGCAAGGGAAACGTAGTATATCGTTCCTGTGAAATGAAGGACGAACAAGAAGAAGACAACTGTCTTTGTATACTGTGGGTATAGGTCGGTCAAATGTAAGGAAAGAAAAGCAGGCGCTGCCGCGGACCTTCAGGCAGGCCGAATCATGTTTGTATGGGCCCCGTCGTCGTTGTTTGGCTGTCGTTCCTCACTGGCTCTGGGGCGCTCGGCGGAGGGGTCGCCGCGAAATGTCGCGGTTCCGTCGATGCGCCGCGTGCCAACTCTCTCGGGGGCGGTAGCGGGCTCCGCGGTCGAGGCAAGATGGGGGCAAATGGCGTGGGGCGTTCTCGCGGCGAAGGCTCGGAGGCGTGAAGTTGGTAGTAGTCGCGGCGGGAGGTCTCCTCCCGCCATTTCTGATACTCCATTGCTGCGCCCGGCACCCCTGGCAGCATCGCAGCCGGCTCTGCCGTTGGCGGGCCCTGCGGTGGCCGAGGCGCAATCTCGGGCAGCCCTTTCTTGGCTCGCTTTGGATCGGGCTGTCCTTGAATTGGAGACTGCTGCGCTGCGGGAGGCGGCAAGTGCGGGCTGTGTGGTTGAGGAGCGAACGCGGGAGAAGACGGGTGCGGAGCGGGCGTGATGTTCTGGTAAGTTGACACCTGCCACGTGCTCTGTGTTGACTTCGGAGGACGTCCGCGTTTGCGGGCTTTCGGGGCTGGGTTGTACGGAGTCGCCGACACAGACGGAGTAGGGGCTGGAAGGCCCGGCGGAAAGCCGTTAGGACGTGGTTGGATGTTCACTGGCTGCGTCCCTGGAGCAGGCTGGCTGTTGGGTCCCGGCGGAAACCCGCGCGGCGACACCTCGCCCGGGGACGCAAGAGCCTGTCTTTTGTTGGGACCGTAGTCGGAAAGTTCGCCCAGTGACGGCCGCTTTAGCGGTGATATCAAGGGCGGCGGCATCGGCGTGTTGAACATGGCCTCTGCGGCATGGAGACATTGACTCATGTTGCGCCCTGCGATGGCAAGTTAGGAAGGGACCATTTTCGTTACCGAGCTGGGTCGGTATCTCGACATGGCAGTCACAATAGCGCTTACCTCCAGGGAGCTGCATAAACATCCACTTTGGTTGAATATCGTGCGATTTGACCAAGTGAATGAGAACCCCGACATCGACATCGCTGAGCTTGATCATCTCGGCGAGAATGAAGCGCTGCACGTCATAGGTAAGATTCGTGAAGGGCAGACAGAAGCGGGGGTTGAGCGACGTGTGGTAACGTACCTTTTCGGTATCATTAAGGACAGACTCCATGGCTAAGATCGGGTCCCCAGTGCCACGGGAGAGAAGAAAGACGAGAAAGTAAAGAAGCGTGTCGTCATAAGCTTGTGGTAGTTGATCATTTGAGAAGGCGCGGGATGAGATGAGTCGGCGAAAAGAGGAGGCCGCTCGTGATTCGAGATTCGGGTCTGTTGTAGCAGCAGCAGGTGCAGTGGCGAAGCCGTAATAGGTAGTAGGGCAAGGCCACTGTTTATGATGGAAGAAGCTTGGAACGAGTCTGCTGATTGCCTACAGCGCGCGCGTGCTGCATCGGCGAAAGGAAAGATGGAATGACTGATGACTGAGAGATGGACTAATTAGGGAATAAACGAATGTCGAGATCCGCCGAGGGCGAGACCGTCAGCGCAGGAGTGCCGCCCGGGGTAAAGACAACATCGGGGGTCAAACTTCAGGAAGCTCGCACGCCGGGAATTCGAGTGGTTGACAAGTCATGGGCGGATCTGGCAAAGGGCGGCAAAGACACGCGAGCCGTCCGAAGCGCGCGTCTTCCGGTGCGGAGATGGCCTGAACGATTGCAAACAAGCGACCAGTGTCCCACCGAAACCCACTGACCCTGCCTGCCCGGCCTGCACTTCCTGGTGGCTTGCCCCAAGCTTTCGGGGCCCCGGCCCACACCTTGGTCGAGTTGGGTGTTTGATTCCTGAGCATGGACCGAGTCAGTTAGCAGCAACTTTTAGCACTCGATCTCTTTCCCCCCCCTTTTTTCCTCTCCTGCATCAGGACAAGAGATGCACGAGGCAACCCTGAATCATCGCCACGCTTTCTCTTGAATCAACCACCCAAATGTGGCATATGATCAGCCGCCCCAAAACTCCCATGTCTTTGGCCCGCCATGGCTGTCGCGTATTTTCTGCCCCTCTGTAATTTTTTTTGGGTCCGTTTGGGTGTCTCACAGACCATGCAGCTGCAGCCAGAAGATCACTTGACTGCTCAGGTGGCTAATAGCGTGCGGCCGGGCCGGGGCGAGGTGGTGTGGACATCAACCCAGCCTGTCTTTGTGCGTGAGAAATTGTCGACGAGTCATAGACCGAAAAGACCAGTCGTCCGTCAAGCACACTGTTCTGGCGGTCTGTTTGATCTGTTTGACCATCGAGCGCCCGATGGGAGGGGTGGGAGCAATTGCTGTCCTGTTTGGTTCAAAACCCGAAAGCACCACCGTTCACCTATCCATGGATAGGTACCAGGAATGGATCCTCCGCACGGCTCTCGGCGAGCGCGCAAGTTTTCCGGCTCCATCCAAGACGGACGGCCAAACCTCCGCGATCTCGTCTTTGGACGCGTGCGACCTGTTCCCCACCGACCGTTGAGGCGGGCGAGCACCGCGGGTGATCCGGACTGAAACAAGATGCCTTCCAAGACTGGAGACGTGCGTGGAGAGGGCATGTCCGATTTCGTCCTCCAAAGACGGCAAGCCACCGCCCAGCTCTGCTGCAGGCCGGAAGGAGGGCATCAGCGGCTCGCGACTTGCTGGATCCATGCAGCTCTGCAGACAGCGTCGGTTGATGAATGGGCGGGCCATCTGCACCTTGAAGCGACGTGCAGCTGCACATGTGACCCCCCAGCGCGCCTGCCCCGCGGTGATAGGGTACGGCAGTCTGGGGAAGGTTCCCCCTCAGATTTCGGCCTGATCAAAGAGCCCAATCTTCGGTCCGCACCTGCCTTGGTTTGTTGACATCTCTAGCCACGGCCGAGACATCGTCTGCGGGCCTCGACTGGGAATCTCTGGCTGTTGCACGAAGAGACTAAGAGGTGAAGTCGATGCTTTTTCAAAGACTCAGCGCAATTGGCTCCGCCGGCGCTGGAGGTCAGAAGGGGGGTAGGTACCCACCAGGCCTGAGGTAGGAGCGGCCCGTTCAGGCGGCCCATTGGCCGCATTGGTGAGGATTACTCGCCAATGATAGCAACCGGCGTGCGAGTCGAGCATCAGACAGGCCTTCGAGAGATCGATTCGTTCTCATGGAAGAGCCGCAACGCTTAATCGCGGTGGGTCCATGCTGTTTAGGTGGCTTGGTGATATTTTCCACTAGCATCATGGTATGCTGTATGAAACGTGTGGAGTTTTTCCTGAAATCGTCGACAACAAGGAGCCCTCTCAAGTCTTTAAATGCCTTTGGGCTTGCCTTGGGCTCCGCTCCACCCGTCTCCTGCACGATGAGTTGGCACCGGGACCACGGCGACTATTTCCAGGTTCCTTCGGGTTACAAGCTATATAAAGGGCGGTTTTGGACTGGACCGTTATGCCGTTATGCCAGACATCGTTCCCGGTTGCCAATCCATGCACACCGCTCCGATCCGCCTGCAAGGTTCCGAGGGAGATGGCATGAATGACGGAACCACCGTGTAATTTTCTCCCGAGCTGGGTCGAAACCCCGCTACGGAATACTTTACTGGGAGCTGGGCTGATTGATTTTGTGGTTTTGTCTTGACGGGAACCCACTGAGACAAAGAAAAAGCATCATAGAGAGGTAGGTAATTTGAATAATCGTAAGCCCATCAACTCGCGGTAGCAGAAACCAAACAAACTCAAGGGTAGGTGTCCCAAGAGGTTGAATGGGATCAACTAGTTAATAAATAATGCGTATGATAAACGATAGGCGGGGGACTGTGCAGCCTTGTTCTTCAATAGGTAACTTGACCTCTCATCAATCAAGCTTTCGCTGCTGAGGATGAAAGGTGCCGAGGGTGCCTCCTGGTCGGGATGCCGAGACGCCGAGGCGGAACATGATCGGACCGGCCAGCTCGTGGGGAGGCTTGGCTCCACCTCTGAATATCGGAGGCAAGTGGGATTGGCGTCGCGCTGGACCCATGTCGAAAGCCCAGACATGAGACGCCATCTTTGAGAATACAGCAAATCCAGCACCACAACTTCAATTGGTAATCGGCCGTGGAATAAAGATTCCTCCTGCTATGAAGGACAAAAAGCATCAAACTGTTTAGTCTCGGGGTGCAGTGGAACCGGTGGCCTCTGTTTGCGCTTTAGATCACTTTGGACCCGCCTGTCGATTTTGGCGTTGCCAGTACCATGTCGCATGCTCCGAGGCGCGCAGCAGAATAGCTTCCTCCCATCTATCGCCTCCGTCTTTCTTCTCCCGCGAACTTCCCCCTAGCTCTCTCTCCCAACCTCCCGCCGGCATTTCGCGCTGCCCCCATGTGCCTCATTTTCTGCACCACCGGCAACACCCCTTTTTGTTCCCGTGCAAAACGCTTATTTTCGCCCGCGCCAGCGTCCGCACCTTCATCTCGACCTTAATCCTCGACTCGCCGCTCCGCGCGATACGCTCGCCTTTTGTTTGCTATGGAGGGAAGCAATCGTGCTTCAAGCACGGTGGCGGGGCCAGGGACCGAGGAGAAGGCAAAATCCAATGGGGTCAGGTTAAAAAGGGAGGACACGAGCGATTCCACCACCCTAAACGGCACCAAAACCGACGCCCGACTCAGCATGTCGCCCGACGACGCAAAGTCTGCGGCCGACGGCACATCGGTCCCCGAGAACGGAACCGCGCCGAAGTTATCGCGCAAGCCGTCACAGAAGCTGCCACGGGGCCCGCCGCCACTGTTCGACCATCTCCCCGATGCCACCGCGGACGCCTGCGATACTTTCCAGGTGATCAACGACTGCCTCTATGGCTCTAAGAACATGGGTTCGTCGGACCACGACGCGCTGGACTGTGACTGCGCTGAAGAATGGCGTAAGTTGGCACCCTAATAATGACCCTTCCCTGGGTGGCGTGCCGCCTGTTAACACACTAATCCCCCCCGCCTCCCAGATGACGGCCAGAACCATGCTTGCGGCGAAGATTCAGACTGCATCAATCGGGCGACGAAAATTGAGTGTGTCAGCGGGGACTGCAATTGCGGAGAGGGCTGCGAGAACCAGCGGTTCCAGCGCAAGCAATATGCCAACGTCTCGGTCATTAAGACGGAGAAGAAAGGGTTCGGGCTACGGACAGATGCTGACTTGCAGGCCAACGACTTTGTGTTTGAGTATGTGGGCGAAGTCATCAACGAGCCGACTTTCCGCAACCGGACGGTAAAGTACGACAAGGAGGGCATCAAGCACTTCTATTTCATGTCGCTGACCAAGAGCGAGTTTGTTGATGCCACCAAGAAGGGGAACCTGGGCAGGTTTTGCAACCACTCTTGCAACCCGAACTGCTACGTGGACAAATGGGTGGTTGGTGACAAGTTGCGCATGGGCATTTTTGCCACCCGCGCCATTCGCGCTGGTGAGGAGTTGGTCTTCAACTACAACGTCGACCGGTACGGTGCCGACCCGCAACCCTGCTATTGCGGGGAATCCAATTGTGTCGGCTTCATTGGCGGCAAGACCCAGACAGAACGGGCGACGAAACTGCCACTTGCGACGATTGAGGCGCTCGGCATCGACGATGGCGACAGTTGGGATACGGCGGTTGCCAAGAAGCCCCGCAAGAAGAAGGCCCACGAGGACGATGAGGATTATGTCAACAGCGTGCAACCCCGCGCACTGGACGAGGACGGCGTCAACAAGGTCATGGCAACACTCATGCAGTGCAAGGAGAAGTGGATTGCCGTCAAATTGCTTTCCCGACTTCAGGCCACCGAGGATGAGCATCTCCGCCATAGAGTTGTGAGGATGCACGGTTACCAGATTTTGAAGACCACGCTCAACACCTTCAAGGATGACACCAACGTCGTCTTGCAAATCCTCGACATTTTGTACCAGCTTCCGAGGATCACGAAGAACAAGATCTCGGATTCCAAGGTCGAGGGGGCAGTGGAGCCACTGGCCTCGGCAGCGCACGAAGAGGTCGCCCTCGCTGCGAAACGATTGCTTGACGAATGGAGTAAATTGGAGACGGCCTACCGGATCCCGCGCAAGAAACACGACCACGCAGGGCCAATCCCCGGCAACTCGTTTGAGGAGGAGCGGCGCAACAAGGACCGCGAGGAGCCGGCAAAGCCCACAGACCCCTTCGCCAACATCGTGATCCCGACGGGACCCCGCAGTACCATCCCGCAGCGGAACGCCAATTTCTTCGCCGGCCAACAGCGGCCCCGGAAACCGCCAACTAATCTGCCGGCTGGCTGGTTCGTCAACACCGACAAGACCGGCCGCTATTACTTTTACGATGCCACCGGCAGGACGCAGTGGCAGCGTCCCCTCACCCCCGCCATCGAAACTCCGAAGGTGTCGGCCAAAGCGCAGCAGGACCAAAAGGCCCTGCAGAGCATTATTGATAGTTTAACTAAGGAGCCGACACCGCGGCACTCGGCAGGCCACACCCCACAGCGATCTACCACGCCGGCGACCGAGCCCAAGAAGGACAAATGGCGTTCCCTGCCTCTCGAGAAGCAGATGAAGATCTACGAGAATACTGTGAGTTTATCCATGTCGGCCGCCATGCCATGTCTGTGTGCTGATCAGACCAGCTTTTCCCTCATGTCAAGCATGTGGTGGACAGGTTCCACGGCAAACTGCCCAAGGAAGAGCTGAAGAAGTTCGCCCGGGAGGTCAACAAGAAGCTTGTCTCGTCGGATTACAAGAACAACCGGGTGGAGGACCCGACATCCATCCCACCCAAACAGGCGAAGAAGGTCCGGAAGTATGCCCACGACTTTTTCGACCGCGCCGTAGCCAAGTACACCGAGCACGAGAAGAAGAAGGCCCATAACCCAAGCAAGCCGACCTCGGGTGTCCCCCCGGGCGACGTCGCGAGCTCGGCCGCCACCCCGGCCAAGGACGACGTAACAATGTCCGACGTGGAAGCTGACACCAGCCCGGGCAGTTCCGCAGGCCGCAAACGCAAACGCGACGGCGACGATGAGCACGACGATCCGGCCGAGTCCCCCGGAGCGCCCCCATCCGAGACACCATCGGTCAAGCGCATCAAGGAGGACGACGCTGAAGGCGAAGGCGAACCAACTACAATCCCGCCCCCGCCGACTCCACCGCCTCCGCCCGCGGACACCCCGCCGACCGAAGAGGACCGCTCGATGCGCGAGCAGGAGGAGGCGCTCATGCGAGAGAACGAGGAGGCCCAGCGGCTGGAGGACGAGGCGCAGGCCGAAGAGGGCGGCAAAGGTTCACACGAATGGAACGGTCGCTACCACCGTACCTGCGCCGCCGGCGAGCGGGCGGTCGAGTGGCGAGTTGGAAATGGGTGGTGCTATGGAGATGATGGACACGGACGAGCCGCCGCAACAACAGCAGCAGCAGCAGCAACGGCAGCAGCAGGCAGTGCTGGGTCACTAAAAACAACCCTCGCTTGCTTTGCTTTTGCTCCATGCTAGGGAGGCAAGGGGCGGCGGGGGTGGATTGCGTCTGCGGGGGGAGACGTACGCACACAGCACACACACACACACACACACACAATACATATATTTAATTGTCCCGGGTTCTCTTTGATGGTATCAAAACAGGCAGGCAGGCAGGCAGGCAAGCAGGTTCGGAATTCGAACCCAGGATCATGCCGGGCAGGGAAGGCCACGGGAGGCGAGGCGAGGCTACCCACTGCTAGTTTCATATCTTGACGGGGTTATTGGAGGATGGTACGATACGATACCTAGTATATATTCTAGTCTTTTTTCTCTCTTTCTCTGTCTCTTTTCGTTCTAGACGGGGGCTATTTCCCTTCTCTCTCTCTCTCCCTCCCTCTCTCTCTCTCTCTCCAGGGCAAGGTGGAGGAGGTCGGGGCGAGGTTTTATACTTGATCTGCCCTTTTTTCCTTCCCCCTAAAACCATCGTGGCATTCTTTCTTCCCTCTCCTGTCTCGGTTGGGGTAGTGGTGGTCGTGGCGGTGGTGGCTGGTTCCGGCCTGTCGTTTGGCGGCGGTGTCGGCGGTGTTACCAACAGCAAATGGCATTGGTATTCTGTTTGTGTGGGGGCATTTCGGGGCGTCGCATCTGTGGGTGTTGTTGTTGTTGTTGTTGCTGCTGCATATTGCATTTGCTTGGTGTGATGTGGGTTGGTCTTTGTCATGTATATCGTCCCAACCACCCGTGCGTTTGTTATTAGGTACACGTGCAGGTGGTGTTTGGGGGGGTTGCCGACGTCTGGGGTTATGTACCATCAACGTGTATGTATTTCCATATATATAAGTAAGGATTCGTCAGGCAACCAGGACGATACGATATATAAATGCGGCAATAGGTGGATGAAAACATTCCGGCTGAACCTCTAGATGAAGACATACTCCTCGAGCGAGCATCAATCTGCGCACCACCCTCTCTAACTACCACGACGTAACAATCTTCTCCAAAACCCCCACCAAAATATCCGCATGCTTCTCCTCAAAGATCAACATGGGCCGCAACCTGACGGCGCTCTGCCCACTCCCACCAATATTTACCCCCAGCTTCTTCGCCACAGCCAGGAACTGGTCCCTCCGCGGGTTATCAAAGGCAATAAACGTGCCCATGCCCTTCCCCCTCAAGTTCTGAAATTCGCCCGGATACTTCGCCGCCAGCCCCTCCAATTTCCCAAACAAGTAATTACCCACCCTCTCCGTATGCCTCACCAAATCATGCTTCTTTACCTCGTCCACGATGGCCCTGAACAGTAGCGCGCGCGCCGGGTCGCCCATCCACGTGTTGAACTGGCGGTAGGGCTTGTTGGGCCTGAGGGCGGGGTCGCCAAAGTAGTAACCGGCGGTCTGGGCCTTCTTGCTGAAGGTGACCATGTCGGGCGGGTGGGGGAGGTCCCAGTGCTCGTGCGCCCAGAAGCGGCCCGTGGCGCCCACCCCGGTCTGCACCTCGTCCACGATCAGCAGCACCCCGTGCTTCCGCGTCACCTCGCGCAGCCCGCGGAAGAAGGCCGGCGTGGCGTGGTTGTCGCCGCCCTCTGACTGGATCGGCTCGACGACCACCGCGCAGGGCGGCACGTGGTAGGTGGTTAGGAGGCGTTCGACCTCGTCGAGGGCGGCGCGCTCGGCGGCGGCGTTCTCGGCGGCGTGTTGGTCTAGCGGGTATTTGAGTTGGGGGAAGGTGGCCTGGGGCCAGTCGAAGGCGGGGATGTCGAGCTTGTGGATGGGTTTGGAGCGGGTGGTGGAGAGGGAGCCGAAGAGGCGGCCGTGGAAGCCCGTCTTGAAGGAGAGGATGGAGAGCTGGGAGGCGCCGGGGGACTGGTTGTTCATGGCCGAGTTCATCTCTTCTTCGGTAAACTCGACGTTGGGTCCGCCTCGCTCGCGCTGGCGGCGCCACATGAAGGCGGCTTTGTAGGCGGTCTCGTTGGCGTCGGACCCGGCCATGGCGGTGAACACCTGGTCGAGTCCCTTCGGGGCTACCTTGAGGATGCCGGTCTTGAGAATCCTGGCCCATTCGGCGGGGGGGAAGTTGCCCAGGGCGGGTCGGTTGATGATGCCGTTGATCATGTCATCGCTCTGGGCGGCCTTGCGCAGAGCCGGGTTGTTGTACCCGAGAGGGATGGAGGCGATCTGGGCGTACACATCCAACAAGACATTGCCATCCGGGTCAGCGATGTAGTTGCCTACGCTCTTTGTGTAGTCGGTGAGCATGTTTAGGCTGCGCGTATCAAAGACGTCGTCGAGCTCGGCGATGGCGGCCTTGGACTTGGGGCCGGGAATATCGGTCTTGACCGAAGGGCCCTCGGGCTCCCAGGAGGGATAGAAGGACGACATGGCGCGGGTTGAAGCAGTGAATCGGCGACGGGCTTCGAGAGACCCAACAACGGGCCTGGCGATCGGAGGTGAAGAGACGGCGCGCAGGAGGGCGTTGCTGCTCCGGAGTGTTCTGCACGCCGACATGGTGGTGTCGTCTTCTGGGTATATATAGCACCTCGGGGGGTACTAGGTGTACCTGTAATGTCCCTGATGCGTTTATCCCACCCACTAATATGCTTGACTGTCACTCAGTTGAGGGGAACAACGTGTAATCGGATGGGCCAATCGATTAAGACGCACCCGCGGGATGTTGCCCTTGTTTTATTTCCAGTTGCTTGGGGGTTGGAGGAGTCGAGGAATGCTAACGAAGGACCCTCATGGATATCGCCGGCTTATATTCAGTGCATTGGGCCCTGGCCAGGCCCTGTCAAGGGTTCAGTTGCCATGATTCGGGTGCGGGGAAGCTGCAGCGTGACGGAGAGCTCCAGGAAGGCGCGGTCGCCGTTGTCAATTACGTCAGTCTAAAAAGAACGGAGATGGTCAGGAGTTAATGAAAATACAAAACAAAAAACAGCCAATGCTCGTCCACGGTGTGGTTAGAGTGGCCATGTTGAATACAAAATACCAATTGTGTTCTTTCTGTATATAGGTAGCTACCTGTAGGTCATGACTTGACGCTGGCCTCCCATCACCTCCATTCAACCTCATCCAACCCACAATTGCTCAGGTACCCAAGGTGCCAACGATGACGGATCGGAATGTTTTGACCTGGTGCGGGCCCATCCAGTCGGAAAGCATCGCACACGTCAGGTGCCCTCCACCACCGGGGGTCCGGCGGGGTCTGGACGCCGCTCTTATCAGCGCGCAGTTGCATCCGAAGCGGCCACAGACAGAGCCCGGCCCGCCATCGGAAGAAACCAGCCCACTCCGCCGCTCCATCACCCAACCCCCGGCGTGCATTTTAAGTAAAAGTCTGAGACCGAACAACGCAATCCCGAGGGAGACCGAAAGGGTACTACGGATTGCCTAGATGAGAATCCCGAATCGGTCGGGGTCAAACGAGCGGTGTAGTTCTGTGCGTCGACCTCAAACAATATTTCTCATTATGCTCATGTAATAGAGGAGAGTTCTCCTCCCATCAAAAACCGGCCAGCCCAGCATCCCATGTAGACCACGGAGGAGAGTGTACACCAACCGCAACCAGCCAAACCTCCAACGCCCACCACCGACCGACACCTAGCTATCGTCGCTGGTTCCCAACAAAAAGAAAAGAGCGCGGCCAAAAAGGCCGCCCACAAAACCGAAAGTACAAACAAAACAGTCGAGGGCTAATCTACCGAACGAGAAGGCTAAATAAAAAATACCAACACGCCGTCTGCAACAATGGCCCCGAAGGCCAGCCGCCGAAAAACAGAAAGCAAACGGATTCTCGTATCCATACAGAGACAATAGGAAATGGTGAGGGGCAGCACCGGGTATGCCCTCAAGAATCGCAAAAGTCCGAGTTTTTAAAGGTGGCCTCGACAGGGCGGCCTCGAGCATCGTCGCCAAACTAGAACATCCCCGTCCGCAAGAACAGTTCTCGTACAGCTCCGAAGTGGTAACGCCACCAGCCGGCCAAAGGAGAGTAGACAAGCATTCCTTGACCTGTCGACGCAGAAACGCCCAAGTCCCTGTCTAGTCGGCCACCTTCTTGGCTGCCTTCTTGGTCGCCCTTTTGGCCGCCTCCTGGCAGAGTACCTCCTGCAAGCCAGAGCAGAACTTCTCCCGCAGGGCGGCCGGGGAGAAGCCCGCCAACCAGCCATCAGCTTTCGCAGTCGAACGAGCGTGGGCGTCATCAAGTGCCTAGCTGCTGGATCCGGACTCCTCTTTCTGCTGCGGTAACTGCAGGCCGGCGCTCTGCGCGATCTGCTTCCATGTCTCCATGTCTCTATAGAGGCGGTCGCACTCCAGCTTGAGTTTATCATTTGACTGGCTTAACTCGGCGATTGCCTGCTCCGTAAGCAGCTTCTCCAGCGTCCACTTCTCGATATTTTGTGTCTCGTTCTCTTTTAGCTGCGTGATGAAAGAGACGGCTCGCTGGAGAATGGACCCCTTGTTCTTTTCGCAACCTGGTACGATTTTCGCTAGCTCGTTGATCCCTTCATTGATGGTCTCACGGCGGCGACGCTCGACTGCAAAACTGTTAGAAAGGAATGTCTTGGGATAGCAGGGAAGAGTACCAACTTGCCTTCCTTGTGGTTGTCCTTCCGCATTTTGTGCCACTCTTCAGAGCCTACCGCGGGCTTGGCATTGGGTGGAGCGCTGTAGCGCTGCTCCTGCTGCACTCCGTTCGACGGCGGTTGTTGGATGGTCGAAGGGGGCGGTGGCAATGGGAGGCCATCCGGAGGTGCCTGGCTGACGGAATGGTTGCTGAAGGTATTGTCTTCATGTTGAGTCTCTGGCGTTGCCTGATTTGCGAACGCCTCTTCCGTTGACTGCGGGATATGCAGTGATGGGTACATGTTTAGTGCCGCCGCAGCTGTACTTGACGCGTTGGAGGCATCAGTCGTATCGTTGTGGTCAGAAGCGCTAGCCTGGGCGAGAGCGCTGAAGTCGTCCACATTGACATGGTCGTGGGCGGCCTGGGCGGCCTGGGCAGCTTGGGCGATGCTGACCGTGTCGCTGAGGAAAGTCTGGGCGTCGGTGTCCGGCACCGACATGGCTGCAGCCGGGGCCCCGCGCTTGTTGCGGCGAGAGTCGGGCGAGGCAGACTCAGTCACCCGCTTCCGCTTCTGACTGGGGCTTGTTGAGGCCTCGGGTAGATCGGGATGCGGGACGCTGACTGTCGCGGCCATGGCTGAATGTAGGTTTGCCAATCCTAGAAATGAGGTTAGCTTTCGCAGGATAATATATATAATTGAACATTTCAACAAGGCTGTTTATCGAGCATTATGTTGGTGGTAGCCCGGCACTTGGTTGGGGCCATCCAACGACAATAAAGTCCTGTCCGATCTTGTTGCGATGGTGCAAGAGGATGGCGCACCCCGGTTTACCTGCTCCGGCGATGCTCATCTCGAAATGTCGCATAACGCGCAATCAACGTTAAAAAACAACCTTGTGCAGCGAAAGTTTTAGGAAACAATCTGATTTCGCCTTTGAGCGTAGGTACGTCAAGCGTATTATCAGATCAGCGACGGTAAGCCAGTCACGGCAATCACAGACCCTGTGAAAGCGATACTTGCTTCACGCACACCTATTCTCTCACTCGAGAGGCGACTATGCACAGAGCTTGTCGCATCGAGGGCGTCCACAGCCACTCATTCCATGGTGGTTATACACCAAACATGACTGCGTTGGGGTTGGATTGATATGGCCCCTGCTCATTCTTGATGGAGATTTGAACCTGGGGATGGGTTTCCTTACTCTCTGTGGTTGGGTCGAGGAGCGAGGTCATGTGAAGAACGTGCCCGAAAACGTGACGAAGAGCTGGGGGAGGTTAGCCTGGGCTTTGAAGGGCCGGAAAATCGATGCAAAACTCGGCGAAGCGATTTAAAAAAGAAATAAATAGTAATTAGGAATGTATCCATACCTATTCTTGAACGATGGATATGTCTTGGTGTTTCGGTGTCTGTTGAAGGTTGCTGTTTGAGGAGTCGCGAGAGTAGAGGGAAGATCATGTGAGCTGAGGCCGGAGGTCAAGGTTAATCAAAGTCGCGGGTCATGGAGGGATCAGGGCGCACGGTCCAACACCTTTGCCGAAACACCCTTTTCTCGGCCTGCATGCACGAGCGATCAGCACCACGACCCACCCCGGTTCGACCTTCCACTGGCACCTTTTTAATCTTCTCCTGCGCCAAATCGTTGGACCCTTGGATAGACGCGAAACCACCAACCAACTTGGGGGACTTTGGACCTCGTTGGTCTTGCAAAGACACACCTGGGTAGTGAACGCTTAAGATTATTATATGGCCTTGGATCATTGATCTATTTCCTGTTATTTTCTGACAGTTAGACACCATGGGCCTGTTTTCCTTCCCAGCCCTCGCACAAAGGAGGTGCTTGCCCCGGACATGCCCTGCCCACCATCTCAGATTTCCAACCCCAACAGGCCGACGGCAGGACGATGCGACGCCTCCCCCTCCAGTAGCCGCGCATTATTCCTCGACACCATCATCATGCTTCTCTCCTCCTCTCACTGCCCCACCTGGCAACAACCCCTCATGACGCGAAAGCAGTGAGACAGCCTGGCACATGATTGGACCTCCTGCACATGTCACGAGCCACTAAACCATCACCTCAGCGCTTTCGGTCTCCCTCTTCTTCCTGCGTTGCCTTGCACCCTTGTTGTATTGTCCGTCAGTTCGCGGGCAACGAGGGGGGCTGAAGGGGGGGATCCATCCTGCGGAACCAATAACTGCCTCCCTGAAAATGGAAAGGTGGGGGTTGAGGTGGGCAGAAGCGGGTTAGGGTTTGCGGTTCTCATCACCCCACTCCAAGTGGACGCAGTCGGTGCCGATGAAACCTTCGGCGAGAGGAACGAAAAGAAAGTTCGGAAGCCCAAAGTCTACTTTTAATCTACTCGATTTCTTTTACTTGATTCATCTTGCTCAGTCTCCTTACCTCTGTTTCTTTTCTAAGTTTCTTTTACTTCTGGCTTTTTGCTCCCCTCTCGAGCTCGGCTTTTTTTGGCCAAAGGGAACATGATGTTCTGGGCCCCATCGCAAAAGCCAAGAGCAAATCGGATAGCTGCCCTCATGCCTTCCTGGCCACTGGGGAACTTTCCCCAATCGGCGTTCTGGTCCTTGGGCCAACTTCATCCGTTTCAACTCCTCTCCGAGTGTTGCATGCTCGTACCCAAAGCAGTCCAACAGCACCTTGTGTACAAAATATTCCGCATGAAACTTTCGGCCTCCTAAGTGGCTGGGAGCAAGCAGATTTGCAACCATGGCGGACCTTGAAGCGGCCAACATCAACCACGACAATCACTTGCTTCTTGTAAGACGACGTCATTGCCTTGATTTCTGTCGCAATGCCCTCTTGCTAACGCTTAGTCCTCCTCTAGGATCAACCGTGTTTGCGACTGCCATACGAACTCCTACGAAAGAACTTCCGCTCGGTTCATTATCCCTTCGAGTGGGACTCGACCTCGGTCAAAAACGTGGTCAAAGAAACAGCTAATGGCTTAATCAGCGGGAAAGCCTCACCGCAAGATGCCGTCGAGAACTTGGACCAGATGCTGGTCAAGATGCGAGGCTTGAAGCGCAAGCTGACGGCTGCGGCCAAGGAGGAGGACCGGCTGTATCGCCAAATGGACTCTCGCGTCGCTCACCTGCGCGAGCTCGCCGATCTTCACACCGTCGACGACGTTCGGTACGAGGCATGGTCGCGCCAACGCCTCGACCGCCTCTTGGTCGACTACATGCTTCGGCACGGCTATGACTCATCGGCAATAGCGCTGGCGGATGAGCGGGGGATGCGGGATCTCGTCGATATTGATACTTTCGTGGTCATGAGCAGGATCCGAAAGTCTCTCGAGGGCGGCAGCGTTCAGGAGGCGCTGAACTGGTGCAACGAGAACAAGAAGGAGCTCCGCAAGATGCAGTCCAACCTCGAGTTTTTGCTGCGATGCCAGCAGTACATAGAAATGATGCGCACCGATTCGCCGGCCAAGATGGCGGAGGCTATCCACCACGCACGGAAGTACATCACACCGTTCACCGAAACCTACCCGGTCGAGATCAGCAGCATCGCTGGACTTCTCGCTTACCGCCCCGGCACCATCTCCGAACCATATGCCTCCCTCTACAGCGCCTCCCGCTGGCAGAAACTCGCCGACACATTCGTCGAGGCACACCTCAAGCTTCTCGGCCTCCCTATGACTCCCCTCTTACACATCGCCCTCTCATCGGGCCTATCCGCTCTCAAAACCCCCGCCTGCCACAGTACCCAGCTTCAGGTACCAACCCAACCCGAAGAATCGCAGCCCGTCAACGGGGCCGGCGACGGGGCCGCCACCGCCACCGCCGCCGCCGCTTCCAGTACCACTTCCACCGCCATCCCGCACCACCACCACGGCACGGCTTCGCTCACCACGCGCGTCTGCCCGATCTGCTCGACCGAACTCAACGCCCTCGCCCGCAGCGTGCGCTACGCCCACCACGGCAAGAGCCGCCTTCTCGAGCAGGACCTAGTGCTGCTGCCCAACGGCAGGGTCTACGGTAAGGCCCGACTGGACGAGTACGCTGCGAAATCAGGCTTGCCCGCGGGGCAGATCAAGGATTTGGTTACCGGGGAAGTTTTTTCAGGGGAGGAGGGCAGGAAGGTTTTCGTCACCTGAAGAGAATCATGATGCTTTTATGCGGGGGGTGCATTCACGTGCGGCAGGGAAGGCGGGGTGCATTATCGGCGTTGAATTTTGGTTTGCCTCTTTGGATTGGCGTATACGATAACTAGGGAATACGGGCTCGGAGGGTAGGCAGAATGGGTATGATGGGCATGGCGGGCATGGGTGGATTACGGCGGCGTACTCGAGTTTCTATCTCTACTCCGGTTGGTTTACTGGGATCAGCGAGAACGCAGGCGAACAGGGCCAGTGGTTGCTACTCAGATAAGTACATAAGAAACACAAGCGACGAGTCCTCTGGAAGTTGAATGAGGCTGGTATCCTGACAACAATGCTTCTGGGCATACATACACAAGCATGATGAAGATAAGCGTACAAGCCCAGTAGCATACCGGAAGAAAACAAGCCCGCTTGCTGCCTCTTCTACCTGATTTCTTTCTGGTTTCAGCCCGTCCCAAACACGAAAGGGATGTTCAGACGGAACAGCGGGGGTCATCCATCCCATAGGACCCGGGGTCTAGCAAACAGGCAACTCCCTCGACACACAAACACGCACACACAACCATCCAGGCAGGACAGGCCAACAACGAAAAGGAGAGAGAGAGTGTGTGTGTCAGAAAAACGCATATGCTATTTCCGGGGTATCCGTAGCCCCCACGCTCCCATCCATCCCTCCATCCCATCTTCCCATCCTCCCCCGCAGTAAGTACGTAGTTAGAGAGAGAGAAAAGAAACGAGAGGAAGACGGAGCAACAACCAGCAGCTAGCAGCGGCAGCGAACCCGCAACACAAACGGACACACAGGCATACCCCCCTAAAAGAATATGAAGCTTAGCCCAGCCCCAGCCCCAGCCCCAGCCTAGCCCAGCCTAGCCATTCCCTTCCCTTCCTTTCCCGCGGTTTGCATCCATCCTACCGACCGACCGACCAGACCAGACCAACCGATTTTCGAGATACAAAGTAAGGGGTGTTTAAATGCCTACCGCACCGGACACAACACTGCACAACACACAGACAGAGCAGCCAGACCGGAAAACCCAGAACAACGCGCGCAGAAATAAAAGGTTTCCCATCTTTATATATCTCTCCGCTCCCCCCCTCTCCCTCCCTTCGACCCCAACCTTCTTCTATTCGACTACTACTGAGAGACTACCGCGCATTCCCCGCAAACGCAAACGCCCCAAACACGCCGCCTCCCCCACCGGGCGTCATGGGGCCCATGCCGCCGCTGTTGCTGATGTTGGCGGTGCCATTGGTGTTGTGGGACGAGGCGGCGGGGGTGCCGGCCAGCGCGACACTGCCCGTGTTGGGGGTGCTCGGGGTGCCGCCGCCGTTTTGCAATCCGCCGCCGCTGCCGCCACCGCCGCCGTTGGGGTGGTGGTTGTGGCCGGGCGGGGTGCTCTCGACGGGGTTGTTGGAGGGGTTGGGACCGGCGGTGATGCCGCCGCCACCGCCGCCGCCCATGGAGAAATCGGGGATGCCGAGACCCCAGACCTTGCCGAGGTGGTCATCCGAGATGTCGCCGTTGAAGATGCGCTTGCGCAGCTCGAAGAAGACGCGGCCTGTCAGCAGGCTGTCGGAGCCGGCCTGGTGGGCGCTGCCGACGCGCTTGAGCTTGAGCGTCTCGGCGATGTGCTCGAGGCCCGACTTCTGCTCAAACTTCTGCATGATCTCGATTGCACTTGGGTCGGTGGGGGTTAGCGCGCCGTTATTATGCAGTTTGATAGCGTGCTTCATCAGGTGCTTCACATCGTAAGTGGAGGGAGAAGTATCGCTTCATGTTCTGGTCGAATTCATACTCGTCGCAGGGTAGCGGTTCGCAAAACAGCAGCTTGGTGAGGTAGCCGAAGTCGTAACCGCCGTGGAAGCTTATCCAGCGGACATCTTCGAAGCAGACGAGGCCGGACGGGATTATGAGGGACGCGAACTCGTGCGGGTCAATGCCGTCCCGCTCGAGAAGCGCAAAATCGATGCCCGCCTGCTGCAGGGATTCGATGGACGTCTGGTTGTACATGTCCTCCTTGAGGGAGAACTTGAAGTTGAACTGCCAGGCATAAGGCATGGGCGCCTGGCTGCCGGTCTTCCGTAGCTCTGCCGAGTCGGTCGAGTTTGGGCGGGCCGGGGGTTGCTCGCCGTCTTCGTTGAAAAGAGCGATGCCGATCTGTATCACTTTCAACAGGTCTACGTTGGTACGCAGACATTGGTAGTGGTAGTCGCTCTTTCCCCGGAAGCCCCCCATCGGTCTCGCGACGACGCCCGGAAACTCGGTGTCCTGTCGGGGGGTTCGTGTCAGCAGCAGCCCGTTATAACCCACCCCCTGGCTTTGTCCCAGGATCAACCCACCATAGCAATGTACGGATAACTTTCAATCAGCACCCGCAGGTGTCCGATCTCTTCTGCCAGATTATGTTTCCACACTTCTCTTATCCGCCCCTTCTGCGCAGCCCGTGTTGCGTGTTCCACCAAGCCATGGCCTTGCTGCTGTGCATGTTGTGGGTGTTGGACGGGCGGGGCATGCTGGGAGTGCTGTGATTGTTGTTGAAGCTGGAGGGCTTGCTGCTGCGATTGTTTGGTGTTGCTGGAGGTTGCCAGCGTGCGCGAAGCCCATACGGGCAGCGTGGCTAGCGAGGCCCGAGTCAGCACCTACGCTGAAGCCGGCGCCGGTATTGAGTCCCCCAGCCAGGCCTAATAGATTGCTACTGCCGGCGAAGGGATTCCCGCCGACCTGGGCGTTAAGGTAGGCTGCGGTGGCACCCATGGGCGGCGGGTGGCTCGTCGCGTGCTGGGCATGGGAGGGGAATTGCTGGTGGTAGGGTGAGATGGTGTTGGGCCCACTCGGGAACCGGTTGAGCGGCGGCATCGCGTGGTGGCGGCGCCCGTAGTGTGGGTTGCCTCTACTATGTCCTATCGTGAAGGCCGTATCCTAATAGCCGTGTCAAGATCGGGTCTTGAAGGGACCATTCCCGTCCCTCTTGTTGGTGGTAATCCGGATGCTGGGCGATGCTGGGTAATCGCGAGACGAGACAAAGTAACGACGATTAGACCCTCCTATTCAGGTTGGTTGTGCTGATGGACCGGAGCGCTGTGGTAAGGTGGCCTAGAAAATGCTAGGGAGAAGAATTTGGTGAGCGCGAGTCGAGCGGGTCGAGATAGATTTTGAGGTGAGGAAAGTGGCAAGTAGGTAGGCAGTTTGGACGAGTTTGGGTTCGCGGGGCTGAAGTGAAAGCGGCAGGTTTGCTCATGCCCCAAATGCAACAACAGCACTGCAAGGTTGGCGATGGGCCACTGCCCAGGCGATGCACAGGTCTGCCCCCCCTTGTGTGCACGGACCGTATTCTGGTTGACTAAGCGCTTGGCGCGATCGGCCCGCAGCAGCCAAACTCCCACTTGCGGTGCTTTCGATGATGATGCGACCTCTGTCATTGATTTGAGCTCCCCATCTCCAGTCCAGCTTGCTGAGCAGT